ATGGTAGCCAAGTGATCCCATATCTCTTTGGCCGTGTCAAGATAAAGCAAAGTAGAACTGATACTGGGCTTAATACTATTCAATAGCAATGAAATAATCTGAGCATCTTCTTGTTTCCACTTATCATACCCAGGAGTAACTTCCTTGAGTTTAGTATCCACTAAATATTTCTTAAAGCCTTTACCTCTAAGAAATACTTGAACAGATCGTGACCACAAAACATAATTGGTCTCATTGAGTTTAACAGATGTCATGGAACCATTAAGTAGAACCGTCGGAGAAAAATTTGGTGAAGTGGATGAAATAAGATCAACCTGACTATCATCATTTTTATTCTTGGGTTCCATAATAATATAGCAAATAATAGAAGCAAACAAAATTGCTCAAGGCTGCTGGAGTGATAAACCTGAAGAAAAAAAGAGCTGGAATAATGAACCGTACTGAGAAAAATGAACTGGACCACTGAACCAGGCTAGAAAAATGGACTGGACCACTGAACCGGGCTTGAAAGGTGGACTGGACCACTGAACCGAGCTGGAAAAGTGGACTGAACCACTGAACTGGCCTGAAAAAATGGACTGGACCACTGAACCGGACTGAAATAGTGGATTGGACCACTGAACTGGCCTGAAAAAAATGGACTGGATCATTGAACCGGCCTCGAAAATCAGACTGGACCACTGAACAGGGATGGAAACCAAGTTGAACCACTGAACTGGGCTACCAGAGCTCTCTGGACCTTTGAACCGGATCGGCTAGGCTCTATAAACTGCTGAACCGGCCTGAATCGTAGTCCGGTCTAAGCTGAACCGTGGGCTGGACCAGGTTTGGACTTAAAATTTAAGTCCTGGATTTGACTTGACCCGATTTGATCTAGACCTCGTTGGATCCTTTCTTCTTCCTCGCTGGTTAGGGTTACCCTCTGGTTTGCGACAACAGTACACACCACAAGCCGACTTCAATCACAAGACCACCACAACCACCACACACCACAGCCACTACCACGAACGATGAACTGAAGAACAGAAACGACAACAACAGTACAACGACGTCAATAGCAAGACCACCACAGCCACCACCACCACAAGTGATTATGCCACCACACCACCACCACCACGAACGACGCAAGTAGGCGATGAACAGAGACCACACACCACAGCCACCATAACCACACCACTACAGTACTATAGTGTTAATATATTTAGGATCGTTTAAGCTTTGATATCATGTTAAGTTTGGAGGATTAATATAATATTAGAGACAAAGAGAGAGGTTAAAAACATAACATAGCTCTCATACATCTTTGTATTTATAGTTGACCTACAGTAATAAAAATTACACATACACCCNCATAACATAGCTTTCATACATCTTTGTATTTATAGTTGACCTACAGTAATAAAAATTACACATACACCCTCTTACTATTAACAATTTNTTTGGTGAAGTGGATGAAATAAGATCAACCTGACTATCATCATTTTTATTCTTGGGTTCCATAATAATATAGCAAATAATAGAAGCAAACAAAATTGCTCAAGGCTGCTGGAGTGATAAACCTGAAGAAAAAAAGAGCTGGAATAATGAACCGTACTGAGAAAAATGAACTGGACCACTGAACCAGGCTAGAAAAATGGACTGGACCACTGAACCGGGCTTGAAAGGTGGACTGGACCACTGAACCGAGCTGGAAAAGTGGACTGAACCACTGAACTGGCCTGAAAAAATGGACTGGACCACTGAACCGGACTGAAATAGTGGATTGGACCACTGAACTGGCCTGAAAAAAATGGACTGGATCATTGAACCGGCCTCGAAAATCAGACTGGACCACTGAACAGGGATGGAAACCAAGTTGAACCACTGAACTGGGCTACCAGAGCTCTCTGGACCTTTGAACCGGATCGGCTAGGCTCTATAAACTGCTGAACCGGCCTGAATCGTAGTCCGGTCTAAGCTGAACCGTGGGCTGGACCAGGTTTGGACTTAAAATTTAAGTCCTGGGTTTGACTTGACCCGATTTGATCTAGACCTCGTTGGATCCTTTCTTCTTCCTCGCTGGTTAGGGTTACCCTCTGGTTTGCGACAACAGTACACACCACAAGCCGACTTCAATCACAAGACCACCACAACCACCACACACCACAGCCACTACCACGAACGATGAACTGAAGAACAGAAACGACAACAACAGTACAACGACGTCAATAGCAAGACCACCACAGCCACCACCACCACAAGTGATTATGCCACCACACCACCACCACCACGAACGACGCAAGTAGGCGATGAACAGAGACCACACACCACAGCCACCATAACCACACCACTACAGTACTATAGTGTTAATATATTTAGGATCGTTTAAGCTTTGATATCATGTTAAGTTTGGAGGATTAATATAATATTAGAGACAAAGAGAGAGGTTAAAAACATAACATAGCTCTCATACATCTTTGTATTTATAGTTGACCTACAGTAATAAAAATTACACATACACCCTCTTACTATTAACAATTTACACATACTATCATACTATTCTTAACAGTGATCAATGGCAGCATGTCAGAACTTATCCGCCCTAGTCTCTATGGTGCTTATCAAGTAAGTNAAAAGAGCTGGAATAATGAACCGTACTGAGAAAAATGAACTGGACCACTGAACCAGGCTAGAAAAATGGACTGGACCACTGAACCGGGCTTGAAAGGTGGACTGGACCACTGAACCGAGCTGGAAAAGTGGACTGAACCACTGAACTGGCCTGAAAAAATGGACTGGACCACTGAACCGGACTGAAATAGTGGATTGGACCACTGAACTGGCCTGAAAAAAATGGACTGGATCATTGAACCGGCCTCGAAAATCAGACTGGACCACTGAACAGGGATGGAAACCAAGTTGAACCACTGAACTGGGCTACCAGAGCTCTCTGGACCTTTGAACCGGATCGGCTAGGCTCTATAAACTGCTGAACCGGCCTGAATCGTAGTCCGGTCTAAGCTGAACCGTGGGCTGGACCGGGTTTGGACTTAAAATTTAAGTCCTGGATTTGACTTGACCCGATTTGATCTAGACCTCGTTGGATCCTTTCTTCTTCCTCGCTGGTTAGGGTTAGCAACCCTCTGGTTTGCGACAACAGTACACACCACAAGCCGACTTCAATCACAAGACCACCACAACCACCACACACCACAGCCACTACCACGAACGATGAACTGAAGAACAGAAACGACAACAACAGTACAACGACGTCAATAGCAAGACCACCACAGCCACCACCACCACAAGTGATTATGCCACCACACCACCACCACCACGAACGACGCAAGTAGGCGATGAACAGAGGCCACACACCACAGCCACCATAACCACACCACTACAGTACTATAGTGTTAATATATTTAGGATCGTTTAAGCTTTGATACCATGTTAAGTTTGGAGGATTAACATAATATTAGAGACAAAGAGAGAGGTTAAAAACATAACATAGCTTTCATACATCTTTGTATTTATAGTTGACCTACAGTAATAAAAATTACACATACACCCTCTTACTATTAACAATTTACACATACTATCATACTATTCTTAACAGTGATCAATGGCAGCATGTCAGAACTTATCCGCCCTAGTCTCTATGGTGCTTATCAAGTAAGTTTCTAATACATAAGCTACTCTATGAATTTGCATGTGTGGATCAGAACATTGTTGTCAGACAGTCCAAGCCCTGCTCCTTCTTTCTGTCATATCCAAAATCAAATTTGCGTCATAGAACCCTTCNGGTACTCTATGAATTTGCATGTGTGGATCAGAACATTGTTGTCAGACAATCCAAGCCCTGCTCCTTCTTTCTGTCATATCCAAAATCAAATTTGCGTCATAGAACCCTTCTTTATTAAATCATTGTGGATTTTTTGCGTTGTAATTAAATGTGTGTATTGGAGTAGAAGTCTAATAATTTGTCGTTGCAGTTGATCTGGTAGCCAGTAAATTACTTGTGACTAACTATTTCTGATGACTGCTACCTTAACATCTAAAGAGGCTTTTCTAGTGCAATGCGAGATCCCATTACACTAAATTGCTCCAATTGTGAACAACAGAAATAGTAGTTATTATTCCCTTTCAAGTTTGTATATCCTAGTCTAATTAACCCTTCTTGTTTTCTCACACTTGCATGTAATCATTCTAGTCTTTTCATAAACTCTTTTAGCTCTTGGTCATTGTTTGACCTTTGAATGCAGCACATAGAGCTGGTTTCTCCTTCACAACCTGATGCTGAGATTTCTACGTTTGAGGGTCCGGTCTGCAGTCAGCAGATTTCTTGGGAAAGGATAGGGAACTTCCAACACCTGCTAGGGTAACGTGTTGTGCTTCTTTATGGTGATCGTGTCATCCATACTCTTTCATATTTGCATTAAACAGGAAGCATACTTTTCAGGGTACCGGCTTGGTGGTTCACGATGCCAGTGTTTACTGCATGAGTATGGCATCAACTTACAAACTCAGGATGCGACCACTAGAGTATTGAGTGTGTGATTTTGACATGATATTATCTTAGCTATTAAAGTTTACTTTCTATTCCTTGCCAATAGTTGCATTTAACTTACATCATAGACAACACCATCGCACCATTTCTTTACCACCTGAGCTAAGACCCATGGGTCAATATTTTCTGCATGTATTCAATGTTAAATAGAAAGTTATGGGCATTTGGGAGGTAATCCAGCATTACATGTTAGCTGATGTGCACATGTCAAGTCATCAAGTTTCCCTCCACAATTAAACTTATGTCTTAAACTTATTTTCTTACTAAAAGAAAAAAAAATTTAAATGAGGGATTGGAGGGTGGGGCTTGGCGAATAGAAAAAGAGTGAGGTCCGAGGTGATTTTGAGGGTTTGGCTTGGCGTTGTTCATTGTGTTCTCTAAAGACGAGGTGAAGAGGGGAGGAGATCGGGTAGGGTTCATTGGAGAGGAAGACACCGTTTCAATTGTTGTGCAGATGACATCGGTGTTGTGGCAAGCGGTGATTTCAAATGCTCCAGCGAAGAGATCAGCAAGGGAGGAAACAGTTGGAAAAGGGGAGAGGAAGTTAAGAAATCAATTGGGTTTGTTAAAAGGGTTGGCGTCTATTTGAATGGTTGTAGACACCGGTGTCGAGTTCAACGGCTTGAGTCCGGTGAAGATGAAGAAGAAAAGAAGAGGAAGGCTAGGGCTGGGGCTGGGGCTGGGGCTCACGGGAAGAGGAAGGCAAAATGGACTCTTGATTTAGAGTTTTTTAAAAGAAAGAAAATAATTTAAAATTTTGGTAGGGAGACTAGATGACGTTACATATACACATCATCAGTTACATCATCAAGTTAATGTTTATCGAGTAACTAGGAATTATCAGTGCCCGAAGGCACGGGATGACAAAAAATAAAAATTAAAACTCGAAGAATACTACATTGTCTAAAAGCATTTTGCAACTTAAAACAAAAGGAAAAAAACATTGATCATGGACACGTTAGGCTCAATTGAAGCCCCAAATGCTTAAATTGCATCCTCAACATACCTGCATGCACACCTAACAAAGCATTACCTACACATTTTAATTAACAACACGATGCATACCATTTTGAACTAAAACACTAATTTGGAATCCGTGTATGACTAATTTTAATTAACCAAACAAAAGTAAAATAATAAGAAATAGAGAAAACGCAACTTTAATAATCAAAATCTCATATGTTTAAACTGAAAACTCATAAAATTTATGTCATTGCTGAGAATTGACGGCTAGAAAAATAAAATAGGAGTAATGGTACGTAAAAATCACAAATACATGAACATAGTTAAGATGCCAACAAAGTCTTGCACACCACAATCATGAAAGATCCACCATTAAGTACTCAACTATAAGACCTAAACACAAATGCATTACTAATAATGAAGGCTATGCTCTAGCAAACTAAAGCATGAACTCTCACAATAATGAGCATTGGATATTAGCCTCAATAACTGTAACATTTCATAGTTTACCAACATGACAAATATTATCCTTTGGAACAACATGTATTTTGCCAGCAGTTAGCATCATCAAAAAGAATGTGGGAATCTCAAAGCCAAGATAAATGCCTCCAACAACAGTTGGTGCACTCAAACCTCACCACATCACTCCACTTGACACCAGCTTCGAATATGGATGATTGAATGTGTGCAACCTTGTGCAAAGAATTCTACCAAAGTAAACACTTGAATGATTAAGTCATCAAGGCCATTTGGATTTTCTACAAATTTAGCAATTTAGGCAATGTTTAAATTATGTGTGTACATCACAGCAAATCGACAAAGCAAAAGTAATCCAAACTGGTCCTCGATTGGGTAAATCCATTGCCAAAAAAGAGTTGACGATAGCACAGAAAAAAAAAAAATTAAGCAAGAATTGAATCTTACATCTAAGAAATAGCATACATGGGTACTTGTCTTGATGGACAGCCTTAATGTTCTCAACCTCAATGGTATTGGTCAACCGAATGGAAGCTACCTTGAGTGACAAAGTCGTTCTTTAACTCCACAATCATTTCTCTGCCCACATAGTCTTTAAAATATGAGAAGAACAGATATAGATCAAATAAAACCCAGATAATTAGAAAGAAAAAACTATATAATGGATTGTTTTGGAAGGTAATATACAACGGATTCTCTACAAATGTACGCAAGGAAAAATTTAATTACACAGATGAAGACTACTCTAGCAAAACAATTCGACTTGGCCACAAAAAACCGAGCAGAATGACAGAAAAGTGAGAATATCAAAATCTGTGGAGGTAGGTGAGAGATAGGAGATAGGAGATAGGAGATAGGAGATAGGAGATAGGAGATAGGAGATAGGAGATATTCTCAAATTCAAATTTATCAAGGCAAATCACTTGGTCAGAATAAATCATCAAGGTAAAAACTTCGTCAAAATAAGTCACATAATCCCTAGTATGGGTCTGATTTAGTCCAAAATTTCAGTTGCCTCCTCCTTCCTAAATTCCACGTACACTTAACTCACCCTCAAGCTAATTTAACCAAACTTTAAACCACATCACCACCCTACAATTTGGATTTCTCATATGCATTAAACCTCACTAATTTATCCTTTAAACATTCCAAAAAAATGTCATCTTTCTCGCTTGCAACCATCTAGAGCTCGGATCATCCACTTTTTAAGGAACGGAAAATGGGACACGCTCAAAATCAAATCGTTCTATTGAAACATAACAAATGAATAGCAGAAAATCTACAACAGTCTTCCAACATATTGAGTTGGATGATACCATCCACGACTTCACCCACGACATCACCAAAACATCCACCACACAAACTGTATTCATCCCAAAATTCTTGTCAAAGCCATTATTTCCACCAACTTCTTTTAGGGAGACTACTAAAAGGAAATTGTATGGAAATGAACTTTGAAACCTTCACACCAATGACTGCTGCGATTATGCCAATCAGCATAATTGGCGAGCAAAGAATCATATTTTCCTCAATCATAACAAATAACTACACTCTTAGAAACATCAAGAGAACAACATAAAATTGTTTAAATACAACAAAAAAAACAAAAAAAAATAAAAAACTTGAAGAGAATATACCCAAATGTGCGTAATGTTGGATGTCAACGGCTCAGTGAGACATTTTGTCAAGCATGAGAGAGGCGCAAAAAACTCTATCAGGAACAATTCATATCCACGAAATTGTTCAAATGAGAAAAGTNTCAAAAACTTGAAGAGAATGTACCCAAATGTGCGTAATGTTGGATGTCAACGGCTCAGTGAGACATTTTGTCAAGCATGAGAGAGGCACAAAAAACTCTATCAGGAACAATTCATATCCACGAAATTGTTCAAATGAGAAAAGTGGGGGAAATGTATGACTCGAAACTAATCGGGTGAATCTGGTGTGTGCATGTGTACGATGTGTGTGCTGATGTGTGTGTGCGTGTGTTTGACTATTCAGAAACATGAAGAAAACATACCTAAATGCGCGTAATGTTAGATGTCAAAAGCTCTGAGAAATTTTGTTGAAGCATAAATTTGGTCAAAGCATAAATCTATATCTATATTCTATATATATTACTTAAAATATTAGTATATATGAAAAACTTTTTTTTCCTCTTTAACCCTCCAACATTATAACTATGCCATGCTAATCCTCCCAAATTAATGCCACAATAAATTCTATCTTTTTCTAAGTTAATACCAACATTAAAATTATTTTAATTTCTGCCAGTTAGGTAAACTCTTGGCTAAATGACTCTTGGGCTGCTCTGCTCTCACATCTTTAATAGGCATAGTACACAGAACTGAAGAAGCCTGAAACGATCGTCAACTCCGATAGCGCCCAATTCCAAATTCGACGACTCTCAGCGACGAATCAACTCCGGTAGCCCATGATACAGTCTCTCTCTCTCCCTCTCCCTCTCTCTTTCAAGTAAGTCTCTCTCTCCCTCTCTCTCTCTCAAGTAAGTCTCTCTCTCCCTCTTTTTCTTCAGCCCACCAAAGAACAGCCCCGCACCACCCCCAAAACAACCACCCCGCCACCTTCCAATTGAGAATTTGAATCATGTTTTACTTCAACATTTGTTTTCGATTTTGAATTCTGAATTTGAATTGAGATTTTATTCAATTTTGAGACGAACTGGTCTCATTTTTTATTTTGTTCCTTCATTTGAGTTACAGGTCTTGGCTTTACCTTTTTTTGTACATTGTTTATGCATTTGTTCTTCTACTGTCTCTGGGTTAACTTTGTAGTACTGGATTTGATGGTAATGTTTTTTTGTTTGTAATGCCAGCCATTGTAGCTATGTATGGCAAGTGTGGTGCTTTCGTTGATGCACAACTGATGTTTAATGAAATGTCGCATAGAGGAGTTGGAAATGAGGTTTCTTGGACTGCTTATGTTCGGAATGGTGGTTTAGCACCGTCTCTAATGGTATATGCACTGTGATTTCCATTATTCCAAACTATGGTTTGAGCATTGAAAATAAATTGTACTGATTTGACCTGAAGTTAGTATCATCTTCCATGGCAATATCATACATGATCGAGATTGTGTCATTCTATCCTCAAATTACTCATTCTCTTTAGTCATGATTGATCATGTTATTTTTACACACTTCATAATTTTTTAGGCTGCTTTTGTAGCTTTTTTGGGTAAGTCTTTTTTGTAGCTGATTCTTCGCTACATATGGGTATTGAGGTTGGACTGGTTATCGATGATTGAAAAGGTGCATTCATGGTAACTATACTCTAGATATTCAATTTGGTTGCCCGGAAAAAAAGTTGAAAAAAGGAAGGAAAATTGATCATAAGGTCAGAGAGAACTATTAATCACTCACATGTGATTAAATGGACTCACTTGCTTGACGAGTTTGTGTTTATCAGTTTGTCTTGTAATATCACTGGAAATTAATAGATTTTTTTTCAATTTTTTTTATTTTGGTGAGAGTTTGGAGTATGATGGTATTTGGCACTTTGTACAAATAATTAGTTTATAGAATTATGCTAATTCTACTCTTTGGTTGTGTAAACATTGTGTACTTCATGCATTGGATTAGTTAAGTTGCATAACTCAAAATCTGAAACTAAGGAAAATGTTGAAGCTTCAAACTTTTTATTCTTTTTTGGTTATTTTTATTGTATTCTTTCATTTTTTTTCAGCAACCAAGCAAATTATTAGGTATTTTGGGTGAAATTTAAAATTCTCTGTAATACTTTAGTGTAAGTAGAAGGAATGCTATGTTGCAGATTTTGGACTATTTAGGTTCTTGCAAAAGAGATTTTAGAGCATTTGTTGTTTCATCAGTTTTAGCTGAGGCATCAAATTACATACCAACAGCTCCAATATTTCTACCCAAAGGGCCATGGAAGCAAGTGAGGAATTTTGGCTTTCTCAATGTTTTGTTTAATTGATAACGTGATTTAGAGATTTGATATAGACATGCATATTTGTATATACAAGCACGAAAGTTAAGTAATATTCATCAAATACGTAATTATTTTGTGAAAATTGAGCGACTTTATTATGTTTGGCGTACTTCCGATGTTAGTGTAGTTGTTATGGAAAATGTTGTCTACTGCTACAACAAAACCTATAAACACACACACATCATATACAAATAGAAAGGGAGAGAGAGGGAGAGAGAGAGAGGATTGGTTTATAATCTCTCTATATATACTTAAGAATGTCANATCATATACAAATAGAAAGGGAGAGAGAGAGAGGATTGGTTTATAATCTCTCTATATATACTTAAGAATGTCATGGTA